GAAAATTTCTACTTTCGCACCTATAGTAATTTATATATAGAACCGCGTCACGTTTTACTATGATTATTCTTCAGTTGACTAGAGAATCATCAATTAATTAATTAATATATATTTGACTATTATACATAATATAAAAAAATTAGAGATCTGCAGCCTGGCAGCATGCTCATGCCCAACAAAAGCCTTGGCACTGCCATGGCATAAAAAATTTTGCATTAACTTGCCAGGCATTTTTAAACATAGGCATTAAAATGCTAGGCACAAGTTTAGACACTATGTGCCTATAGGCATATAAGGCATGGTATAAATTAATCTGGCATTTTTATATTTAAAGCACAAAATTCTTGGCTTAAAAATGCCTGGCATTCTTAAGAGTATAGGTTCAAATGCCTAATATATATATATCATGGCACAAGTATGGTACAAGTATGGCACAGATATGGCACAAGTATAGTACAAGTATGGTACAGGTATGGCACAAGTATGGCACAAGTATGGCACAAATATGGCACAGGTATGGCACAATTATAACACAAATATGACACAAGTATGGCACAAGTATAGCACAAATACGGCACAAGTATAGCACAGATATAGCACAAGTATGGCACAATTATGGCACAAGTATGGACAGATATAGCATGAGTAGGGCTCCTAGGTTTGAGTCCGGTTCAGTCCGGGTTTGATCAAACTTCAAACTCAAATCAATTTTCAATCTCAAACCAAATCAAACTTTTTTTTTCAAACTCAAACTGAACTCAAACTTGATTTTAAGTTTGATCCGGGTTTGGTTTGAAGGTTTGCAAACAGTTTGAAGTTTAAAATATATATATGTATTTTTATGTGCTGAACAAGTTCACTTATTATGCCAAAGCACTATTTATTAGTACAATTTTGAGTAATTTAATATTTTGCATATTTTTATTAATAAAATTATGCAAAATACTAAATTAAATAAAATTTTATTAATGAATAGTGCTTTATACTCATAAGTGAACTTGTTCAGCACACAAAATTACATCATAACAGTATATTTAATTTTATCTTTATTCATTTTTGAAGAGAAGATGCTTAATTCTGGAATTTTCATCAAAATTTCTGGAATTAAACATCTTCTCTTTCAAAAATGAAGAAATATAAAATTAAATATATCATTATGATGTAATTTTATGTGCTAAACAAGTTTACTTATGATACTAAAGCATTATTCATTAATAAAATTTTATGTAATTTAGTATTTTGCATAATTTTATTAATAAAAATATGCAAAATATTACATTACTCAAAATTTAATTAATACATAGTGCTTTAGTATCATAAGTGAACTTGTTCAGCATACAAAATACATCATAACAGCATATTTAATTTTATATTTCTTCATTTTTGAAAGAGAAGATGCTTAATTCCAAAAATTTTGATGAAAATTCCAAAATTAAACATCTTCTCTTCAAAAATGAAGAAAGATACAATTAAATATATTTTCATAATGTATTTTTATGTGCTGAACAAGTTCACTTATGATACTAAAGTACTATTTATTAGTAAAATTTTGAGTAATTTAGCATTTTGCATAATTTTATTAGTAAACTTATGCAAAATGCTAAATTACTCAAACTTTTACTAATAAATAGTGCTTTAGTATCATAAGTGAACTTGTTCAGCACATAAAAATACATATATATATTTCAAACTTCAAACTGTTTGCAAACTTTCAAACCAAACCCGGATCAAACTCAAACTTAACTAAAAAGTTTGAAACCAAATCAAACTGAACTTGATTTTAAAAAAAGTTTGAGTTTGAGTCTGGTTTGAAAATCAAATCAAATCCAAACTTGACTATAAGTTTGATCTGGTCCAGTCTGATAGAAGCACTACTGCCTAGTTAGGTTTGCAACATGACAGAGTTGGTATTTCATTGTTAGGTATTGCTTCTACATTTCTAACAAATACTCTTAACTCATCTCAAGCCAGTTTCTGTTGCCACAGCTTAATTACTAATGCTTCAAGTCTTAATATTATACTGTTACTTAGTGTATTCCTCTATTTTTTTAAGTACTAACTGCTATGATAGGTTAAAGACATATTTTATAAATATACAGAACAATTTTGATTGTATCTAGAAAGTTATACTAACTATAGTAATACTATACTACTATATTATACTTGCTTCCAGCATGTTGTCATACAAAACAAGGATAATTTCAGTTATATCTAGAAAGTTATACTGACCCCAGTAATGCTATACTACTATTTGACTTGTAACCTCAGAGATTGGTAAATCTTAGACTAGTTTATCATAAACTTCTATATAGGTATAATTAAAGCCTAATTAGATATCTTTATATATACTCAGAATGTTATACAATCTTCATAATCTTGCCTTCTATAGTATTTCTATTTTCCACTGCCAGAGGTGCTTCTAATTGATAAGGCCAATCTTTTATCACAGTTCATCTACATGTTCACACCTTTCTCACTACTCTAACTTTGGTTAGACAATTATTTTTCAATAAAGTACCTGATCTTCAATTTAAATAAGGCATAATTTGTGCAGTCTGGTGACTATCCTTCTAAGCAAATACTCGACAAGTTGGGTTTGAGATGTTGACACTACCTAAACTGAAGATACAAGGATAATGGTACTATTCTATTTCAAAGAACTTACTCATATAATCTTCATAGTCACAGTCTTCTATAATACTGCAGTTATATGTAATGCCTACCCTTTATATTAGGATCTTCTTCTAAGAATTTCTATTCCAGCATCATACATATACTTAGACTTAGCCACAGGGCTTTATATTCGATTTGGCCTTCAAAGGTTATAGAAGCAAATTAATAATTTGTCTCCAGCCTAATTGAATTATTGACCTTGTTTGTAGTAGATTAAGAGCTTAATCACTAAGCTATAGGACCCAAATCCTATTATAGAAATATTATACTTTTATTGCTTAATTATTTTTTATACTGTAATTATACAGATAAATAATTGTAACAGATTCAAATAATTATATTTACATTTTTATAGTTATGCTTATATAATTTGAATAATATTCATATAATTAAATCACCAAGCCAATCTATTATTATTTTAGCATATGTTATAAAATGTTTAAAAGAAATTAATAAATATTAAAATTAAATATAAATACTAAAATAGTTAGAAAATTTTAAATAACTATATATACAAAATAATTTACTAAAAAATAAGCATGTTTTTACAAAAAAATAAAATATATAAAAACAAAAGTTTTTAATTTTTTTCAATTCCAAATTCTTAATTAGTTAACTAAACTGGCACAAATGATTCTAATCAGGTTAACTGAAATTTTTTCAAATAATACTTAATTTAAATTATCTAGTTTAAACAAATCACCTAAATTAAAATTTTAACTGGTTTAACTTAAATCAACCAGGTCAAAAAAGACAGTATGACTTGGATAAAAAATAAAAAAGCTAATTAGTCAAATATATATATAAGCAACTAAATTATGGGTTATTTTAGCATTATAGAATATTAATATTTTATTATAATAGAAGCTTAATCAAACTAATAATTATAGAGACTTGCTATTGCCACCCTCTATTTTTGCTAATGCCATCCTATAAGGTTAGAGCCGATCTTTGACCCACGTCACATGATTGCTGATATACCTACCATTCTTAGAAGTTATACAATGATATGGCCGTAACGTGTTTAGAAATTACATCAACATAATAAATATGATAGGTACATCAAATTTTGGTTCATATACATATGTGCATAGAAACAATATATAGCTTTATCACATTTAAAGTGATCAATGACGATTCACAGAATCTAGGATCCTCAATCTGCATACAAATAAAACGTCGAGAACAAAAATAGTTTAGATTGTATATTGTGCTACCTAAATAAGCCGTCTCTTATACTATATATATATAATATTTTCACCAGTCATCGAGAAATATGTAGATTGAACTTACTACTTTATTTTATTAATATGGGGAAGTTTTTTTTTTTAATGAACATTCTTTAACAGACTAATAATAGGCTATTTCTATTGCTAAGAATAATGTATATTGTAACCTGATATCGACTGTTTACCAATAAAGTAAGAGATATGAAAGCAACCACCTCATAATAAAAGCAAGTAAGTATGGAAATACTGTAAAGTAATAAGCTATAGAAAAAGCTACTCTTGTAATCTAATTATTACATTTGAATTATAAGTAAAAAAGCTTTTTCACAAAACAAATTTATGTATTGAGACATGTCCTACAATTATGGCTGGTTTGCTGACATAGACCACACTGCTTTTGCCATTTTTCAACAAGTTCAAATGCCGATGGATCTTTTTGCGTTGATCTCTGGCTTTGGTATCTTGCCCCATTAGTCTTCCTCTCAGTTTACTAACAACTGGGTTTTTTGAAACAGCAGGAGGATTTTTAGCAGCTCTTTAATCTGAGAATAAACAATAGCTTGCTGGTGCGATGACCAGAATTGGTAAATTTGTACAAGAGATTGCAGAAAAGGCTGAAGATCTGCATGATCATTATTTATAGGATAGGTAGGTTCAAGAAATTCTAGGCGACGACCTTGAATCTACCAGTATTCACTAAAATCGATTTGTCATAATGTTTGGCCAGTTGTCAAACGTTCTTTAATTATATGCGAACATGGAATTCCTATTGTAAATCTCAGAATTCCTGTACATGGATTCAAAGGTTTCTCCGATGTTGCATTTGACTCCTTAATCAATTCTTTATGGGCCTTTTTCAGGGAAAAAGTGGACACGTGGCATAGCAGTGGTTCAAACAAAGCAATCCGGTATATATGTGGTATTCTTATACGCTCAGAAGAAATTATAGCATGGATTTCTCTGGCTTGATTCTCAACTTGTGATACAATTTTATGGAATACAGACTCAAGATCACCTACGGAGGTTTGCAAACACCTAGAATAATTGTTTTTAAAAATGAATTAAAAATCAGTTTTGAATTTTTTTTTTTTTTTGTTATCAATTACTCAGAATATTAAATATTTAAATGTTACTAAAAACATTACTATTTATTTTGGATCGTTACAAAAAAATTACCTACCTTTTAAGAGTAGCGTGTATACCTTCTACTCATGATGTTATCTTGTTACCAAGATGGAGGTAACGATCAACCCAGGCAGAGATAAAACAGTCCTTATAGGGCATCCAGGTTTCCTATAGGTATTGCAAGATAATGGGTTGATTTTCATAGTAATTTAAAAACTTACTCCACTAAGTTATGAAATCTTGCTCAGTAGTGGATGCTACAACTTCTTGCCACTTTGTCATAAACTCAGTCCAATGTTGTTCCGTGGTGAAATGATGTTTACATTTTGCCAAAATATTTTTGGTTATATGCCACGCACACAAAATATGATGAGTATTAGGAAAGATTTTATCAGCGGCCTTTATTAACACCAATTCTCTATTGGTAATGATGACCTTGGGATAGGTTAATTCATTAAAAATTCTTGAAGCACAGGTTAAAGCCCATTTATAATCTTCTTCTGTTTCGGCACTTAGAAAGGCGAAACAGGAAAAAATGTTGTATTGAAACTTGAGACCCCAACAATGTTTAGCAAAGGCATTTTATACCTATTGGTTTTATAGGTACTGTCCATAAGCAACACAGTAGGGTAGGCATGAGTTAAAGCGATAGATATTCTATATGCAAAAAACAGACATTTGACATGATTTTGTTTATCGCATTGGTACTCGAACTCAAAATCTGATCCATGCAATTCATCAATAAAGGCTTGAATTAACGTTCTACCATTAAGTCTTTCTTGATGAATGGAGTATAGAGCATTATATATTGTTTTAGGTATAGCCATTGTAGAAGGAACATTTTGCTAGATAGTTGATAAAATTTGGCATGGATGGGAACCTGCAGTAGACATCCGTTGAACTTGTTCTCTTTGTTTAGTATTTAATCTTTGGATAATTAGGTGACCAAGCATATCTGATGCTTCATGGTTATATCCAGGTTCCACAATTTCAAGAATCCAAAAATTGTCATGTTTAATTGCAAAAAGTTCAAATTGGCAACTTAAAAGTCTTGAGGCTGTTTGCCTACATCGTGAATCATCTGTCAAATTTAGTCTGTTTCTATAAACACCTCCTCTATCACATTTTAAATTCATATTCTTTATTTCTCCATTTGAACCAGATCTTGACCTCTTTATTGTCACAGCGTATCCTTGAGTTTTAGCAAATGTTCGCACGTGGGTAAGAAGTTCTTCATGACTTTTAAATTTGCCAGGTGATGGTGGAAGCATGCTAAAATGAAACTAACTATATTACAATAAAAGAAGGTATGATGTGAATAAATAATAAAAAGGCAGCACCAAGAGAAAACCAGATTTCGATCATATAATCGAAGTCTAGTTTTTTTTTAGCGTTACTAAAAAAGAGTATAAGATACATACACACAATAATAGGCTATACAAATAAAAAATTTATAGCCAAGTCAGCGCAGGCTATTAGAATTAGTGGGCTATAGTATGTATACAATTTCGCTTTTACCCTTCTGATATTTTTTTTTAATGAAAGAAAAAGAACCGTTTGATTTTTGTTTTTCTCATCCTATATATATATCTTATTTCTTTATTGACATTATATATTATATGCATTAAACTTCACTATTCTTTATATGTTGCAAGTGTTGATTACAAGTATTGTTACCATCATTTGAGGTAAGCTAAAAGTATTGTAGTTTATTGGGATGTCTAAAAACTATTATTCAATTTACTATATGGCCTTGCCCATGTAGATTAGATTAGACACCAGATATTTTGAATACGTTTAAAACTGATCACGCCAAAGTATCTCTACTAGAGTTCCAATCCTTATAAATCCATTATCCATTTATCCATATTTGACTTTATCCGAATATCCGTTTACTATTGATATCCGGATAATCCGACAAATATTCAAATAAATTATTCGGATATCAATATTAAACGGATATCCGGATAAATTCAGATCGGATACTTGGATAACAGAAACGGTTAATGGAAAATAATACGAATGGGTAGGCATAGATTTAATGGAATATATTACGAGTGAATAGATATAGGTTTGATGGAAGATATAACGAACAAATAAATATAGATTTGATGGAAGATAAAACGAACGAATAAATATAAATTTAGTGATAATGCGAATAGATAGATATAGAATTAACGGAAGATAATATAAACGGATAGACGTAGATTAATGGAAGATAATACGAATGGATAAACATAGATTTAATTGAGTAGATAGAGAATATTTAAATAATATTATACGCGATGTGTCACTCAAATCAGGAACTTGAATTTATGGATTGACTTTATTAGGTTAAGTATAATTTTCTGATTTACAATTTATTAGTTTATAATTTGACTATTGGAATCGGTATTCGCATATGAAATATGCAATTTATTGTTCGTATACTCTATAAAATTGAGATAAAATTAAAAGGTATCTTGTATATAAAATATACGATTGAGTAATAAAAATGATTTTTTAATAAGTTCAAATGCCCGTAGAATATACGAATGTATATCTTTGAAGTTACATTGCTGCGCCTATCAAATTTATTATGTTTGTGTAACTTCTAAGCATGGTAGGTATATTGGCGATCACGTGACGTGGGTCGGAGATCGGCTCCGACCTTATGGGGGTGGCATTAGCAAAAATAGGGGGTGGCAATAGCAAATCCCTAATTATATTTGAGATTTAAATTAGCATTTTTCTGAACTAGTTGTTTTAACAAAATGACAGATTAGATTGCAGATCAATTGGCAATCAATTATCAACTAGTTGTTCTTTATCAACCGGTTGTGCAGGTCAACTGATTAAGAATTTTACTCAGCAATTAACCGAGTTTGTTCGGTTCAGTTCGGTTACCCAATTATGGCCCAATTGGATAAATTCCTAATTCCAAGATTATCATTTAAATAAAAAAATAAGGTGGAATCCATCCAATCACCATGTTTCTTAGCCACAATTGTTCACACCCTTCACAGCCTTTATAAAATCTAAAATCGTGACATGGCCAAATATATTGAAAAAGCTTAGAACACTTCTTAATATTTTCACATGTTATGATAATTTGCTAATTGTAAACCGATGCATGTGTTATAATCTACGAATGACACGTAAATAGAAAATAATGCGTAATATGTCCACGTTCCTGCTTAGTATAACCGTTGATTGCGAAGAGCTAATAGAACTGTATAGACGATATGTCAATTCAACTCCATTGATATGACTTTAATCAACTAATCGTGTTAGGAATTAAATATCTGATTTCAAAACGAACTAGAATCCGAGTTTTAATAAAACTAGCCGAAGTTACAAGTCAATTCAGTCCATCGAATCGAGTCTCGAAAGAGTAATTAAAGTTACAAGTTGAATTCAAGAGATAATATCAGATTCGTATTTATTCGGTCATTAAAAATGAAGTGAATTATCTATCCTTTCGTTTATTGAATTCAAGGTTCTTATATACATCCTAATTGTGAGGACGTAGGCACAAAATTTTAACGTTTACATCAAAAATTGAACGTTTACATGAAAATGTGGGTGCCTACACTATAAAATTAACGTAAAGTCTTAAAAGTCCTACGTTGCGGTCTTTGTGCAATCACGTATAACAAATTTTTCAGTGTTTACGTGATGCGATTGGTTTTCATGCATCTAAGCCATTAAGCCACCTTCAATTTCCAGAATATAATAAACGGCTAAATATTTTACAAAGAAACAGTACGAAGTCGGTTACTGCTATCAAATTGAATTATACTAAGAAAATATGTGCATATTTGGAAGGGATTAAGAAAAAGTTTTTATTTTATTAAGTTATAATCATGACTAATTAATAATTCTTTCCATAACATTAGTGCGGCGGTATAATATGTGAAATTGGATAATAAGCAAGAGTGTATCCAGATTCAAAAGCTTTTCTTATTGGTTGGCAAAGTGAAAAGCCTGGTCCGCCTGCTGTAAGTATACCAACTGCATATACGAAAGGTAATGAATAATCATCGTGACTGTATCTAAACATAGGACCGCCACTATCACCATGAGTAGAGAATACGGATGATTGTATGAGACCTTCATTAATACCTGTTTCTGATCGCTTTTTTACATCATGTGATTTTACTTCACCACAAGTATAACCAGATAAAGCACCCAACTTACATATAGAAATACCGGCAGACGTTATTTCTATGCTTCCTACAATAAGGTACTCTATATCTCTCGGATTTGCAAAATCTGTACGGTTAATCCGTATATTTGGTTTTACCCTGAGATTTGAGTTTGATTTCTCAATAAAACCCATATCGTTTGGTGTGAGTGTATAATTCTCCATTCGTCCAATTTGAATATTTGAAGCTTTATGATAAAACAATTTTGGTCGAGTATCATTAAGGGGGTAGGCACAATGTCCTGCGGTTAATAGAAAATATTGCTGAAATCGATCTTTCAACCAAAAACCTGCACTACAACTGTAACCCGCTGGGCCAATTCTATCTCCACCTAATATAATTGGATAGATTTCTCTCTTTTCCACTAAAGCGGATGAATTGAGTAAATTTAATACCATTTTTCCTTTTTCTTTTTTAGATAAATAAACTATTTTCGGTTTGAAAAATTTAACACTTTTAATAAACTCTTTGTTCTTTGGATCATCCTTATCTTTTAAATATATAACAACATTATTAACTTTGGGTTCGATGCTAATTATGCTATTAATTATATTAAATTTTTGTGTTAATTTATCTATTTGGACGAATGTGGAATTTAATCGAGACAAGGAGTTTGTTGCTTTTTTAAATTTTAAATATTTTTTAAATTCTTTCATTTGCGGAGAGTTTCTCACTTCTTCGACCTTAGATTGGTCTACCGTATTGATATTTATTTTATTCTCCTTTGCATCTACATATGTTCCTCCAAAATATGAATTATTTAATAACGGTTGTAATTTACCGTCTATCATAATTAATTTGTCCTCTCTTTCTAATAGCTTTGGTACTTCTTTAATTGTTACTCCCCAAAGTTTTGCCAAAGGTTCGAATTGTGCTCTGACCATTAAATCATTTTGTATTATAAAAGTGAATAAAATCAATAATGTTTTTAGATAAATGTGTTTACTTCTCATGTTTGAATATTATATTATTAGATTTTAATAACAATGTCAAAGGCCTCTTGATGGATTATAAATATGCGTGTTAACAAAGAGAATTTATAAAGATAATATTAGATATTTTAAGGTCTAGTCATCAACTTTATAATAAATTCTACTAACTTATAAAAATCCTATTCAAAATTTGTTAATCATTTTGATTCTAGTCAATCCAGGGATGCAGGGATGGCACGTCACAATGTCCAATTGGTTTCAATCTGTTTTGGACATACAGTATGTCCAATTTAAATTGAACATATGTCCAAAAAAATTGGAACCAATTGGACATTGTGAAATGCCATCCCTGAGTCAATCTGATTAAAATCCTATTTAAAATTTGTTAATCATTTTGGTTCTAGTCAATCTGATTATATTCATTTGGGATCTTTGCTAGGAAAATCACCCTTCGACATATTCCGATCGGGCTAATTTGGGCAAATTCAAATTAATATTCCGGTACTTGTTTGCATGTAAATCATTTTTGTCTTTATTGATTCAAACGTTCATTCGATAAGCTATTGAATCAACAAGGGCAAAAAATGAGTTACATGTAAATAAGAACCGGTATGTTGGTTTAAAATGTTCCCAATTAGCTTTATAGGAAAATATCGGATGGTGATTTTCTTAGCAAAGATCCCATTTAAATTGATGACATATAAGGCAGGCCTAAGGATGGCTCCGAAAGTATTTGGGCATGCCGAAAGTCATACCGAAATCGAAAGTCATGCCGAAACTCGAAACTCTTACCAAAACTCGAAAGTCTTACCGAAACTCGAAACTCTTACCAAAACTCGAAAGTCCTACCGAAACTCGAAAAACTCGAAAGCCTTACCAAAACTCGAAAGTCTTACCGAAACTTGGAAGTTCTACCGAAACTCGAAAATCTTAAAGTCTTACCGAAACTCGGAAGTCCTACTGAAACTTGAAAGTCTTACCGAAACTCGAAAGTCTTACCGAAATTTGAAAGTCTTACCAAAACTCGAAAGTCTTACCGAAACTCGAAAGTACTGAAATAGAATGTCCTACCGAAAGTCAAAAGTCTTACTGAAAGGTAAATCCTAATATAACATGACACTGACTTCAACGATGGCCAATCAGATTTTGATA